TTCCACATCCATGCGATTTGAATGTCTCCCGCCTATTTGCGGATACCTTAAATTCAATAATGGTCCCCTTCAAATTTCCGGAATTTAAGGCTTATACATGTTCTTTTCAATGGCATTGTCTGTAATTATAAAAATATGTATGACAAAAATTCAAGGCATAACTATCAAAAGCTTATACTTGCACAATAATCACAGATTGATTTAGCGATATATTGTAATGTAAAGATTAAAATGGGTAGCCGAAGAGGTTCCAAATGACGTACTAAAGTGCATTCATTCTTTTGTCGAATGAATTTGACTGCATGCAAGGTTTAAAAATATATTGTTTAGGTAATGATCCAGTATTGTTTACATTACATTGCTCTACACAAGCAATCTGACCTAAATATGGGTTTAAGCATAAATATATAAGCGATTTTAGAAGGGGGATCAGTCAGTTTTCATGTGTTATACTATCAGTTCAGACAAATTTTACATGGATTTTTCTGCTTTAATGTTGTGTTTCTGCTCATTTGGATTTTAAGGTATGAAAAAAGAAACATTAAACAATTTATGTTCTTATTCGAACAATCTCAAACGAACATAAAATATTTACCAGCCTTATTCAATATCATAACAACACTGATTATGGGTATATGCTCCAAGATTTGTGCATTTATTAACATATAAATTACATAGAACACGTGAATATCTGCCTCTCTTTTCTGAATATAACTCGATTACGTAGATCTACAACATAAAGATATTGCAATAATTAACCATATTCAATTCTTATAATAATATAAACATACCAATACCCGCTTAACTAAATATGTATAAAAAAAAAGGTGGGTGGGCGAGCGGGCGTAAAGCGTATGAAAAGCGCAAAGTCTTGAGCTCGAATGACTATAAAAATCACAGAGCATGCCAGTCATGATCTACATAACCCGTTTAACAAGTATTACTACGCGTTACCTCTTACACCCTATAAATAGCAACCACGTGTTCGATATAAACAAGTTAGATTTATCAACCTGCAACACTGTGCAACAAATATATAAACTTTATACCTTCGTATTATCATTGGAAAATATGAAAAACTCTGAGAGTTATCCCCCTAAAACTTAAACTGGAAATAGTTTCAGTACTTTTCTCACAATCTGATTGTTTCATAAGTCAAGGTTAACTAAAGTTCTCAAAGAAGAGATCAACTTGCAAAAGTTCATGATTTTATAAACTTCTAAACTGCTGCAGATTTTCAGGGAATTATGATACTTTTTGTTGGTAGTTAAAAAATCCTTAGTAGACATATTATACTAAAAATTATTTGAGGTAGTCTATGCAAAATATGTTAGATCTGACTGAATGTAGATAGTGCCTCAGGTCTAATGCCACGTTTTTTCACCACTGAAGAGTCCTGTTTTTAGTTTTACCATGTAACAAGGAGACATATACCTAGAAAAATTAGACTATTGTAATGAGTCTGATTAAAACTGTATGAACTTAAGATTTCCTTGCTTTTGCAATTTCACACTTTTCACATATCTTTCTCACATATGGTATTTTTTAAGGTCTATGTGTATAATGAGTGCGCAACACTGAATGTCCTGTGTGACCCCCTAAATGTTGTAATAGATTGGTGTTGACTGTACGCCTTTGCAGATCTACGAATTTCTAATGCCCTCTAGCCAATTTACTATGACTTAAATTATTTTCATGGCACCACTTTACTGATATTATGGCAAGTCTTGCACACAACCTACTAAAAGATTGGGTTTGTAGTCCTGCACACTATTTATTTGATCATGCTTAGTATCACACCAGCCTGAGAAATTAAGCTAGGAATATGAATTACTTGCACTTCAAAAATCATTACCTTGACAGGTTAAAAGATTTACCTATGATACATGTAAATTGTGACGTGATTGTTGCACATTAATTTTTTGTTTGTTGTTTAATGTCCCTCTAATGAACTTTTCACTCAGGCCTATGGATATGCCCCACTTGGCATTGGACAGTTGCAAAATTTTACTTTTGCTTAGCACTTAGGGCCATTGAGCAGTGAGGGATCTTTTTCGTGCCAACACCTACTGCGACACGGGACCTTGGTTTATACGGTCTCATCGGAAAGCACGGTCTCAACGTCCCACAGTGGGATTTGAACCCATGATGTAAGGATCACCTCAAGGAATGATCATCAGAAATTACTAGAAGAACTGAATGAAAAGGAGAAGAAGATTTGTCTTCTAGCGACATTGATTTTCCTGATGAAAAGGTCGACAAACAAGACGAGGAGGAGAACATAATATATCTTTTATTGAACACATGCAGTTATACATGTACCTTCTTTTCTCAGAGACACTCTTACTTACCAGCAGATACCAGCATTACTCTTACTTCTACAGCAGATACTTTTATTTTAAAAAGGTATAAATAATGCCAAAAAGAAACAAGAGGCCCACGGGCCTTATAGGTCACCTGAGTATCATGTAACAACTTTCCAGCGATCGTATTTGGTTTGTGTTTTAATCCAAAAGCCATGAAATTCACAAATTTTGAAAGAGGCACCATTGCTTATCAAAGGGCAGATTTCAAAGCATTGATTTATTTTTAGTCAAAGTACCCCCATGGTACCCCTGACCCAGTGGCCCTGAATTTATCTATTTTGAAAGAGGCCCCTCTCTTCATTATAAGGCCAGCATTTTTTTTATGTTTAGGTTTAGTTATGAACATGAGAATAAAAAAGTCCCGAAGGAAAAGGAAATAAAAAAAAAATTTTGATAAATCAATTGTACATTCTTTTTTTATGCTATTCTAATAGGCCCCTTACCACTGGACACATAATGCTTACAAATAGGAAAGTAGAACATTTAATTGCTTATTTCATCATCTTCCAGTTTGGGCCAGTTATATAAATTTTGTGATGTTGGTCAAAATATATTTTAAAAAATCAATTCTTTAAAAGTCTTTCAATATATCTTCATTTCTTTAATATGTGTTAGATGAATGTGTAGACATTGTTCTAAAATTTACTTGATGCCTAAAATTATAATTCCTATCATAAAACAGACAGGAAGTATTGGGGAGTACGGTGAACATTTTTTCAATTAAGTGTAAAATAATTTCTCTGGCCGATACAAATGATACTACATGCCTGTATATATTTGTATATTCTTGCCTTTTAATAGTTGAATTTTTTTTTATGTCTTCAGGTTATTGTTCATTTCTTCTGACCTCAAATGGACTTAACTTCTCCCATAGTTTTATTCATTACATCTGATGCATAAGCAACCCTTATCTGAAGAATGATGCTTAGACTGTAAGCTATAACAGAGACCTAAACAAAGTCGCTGGCAATATGCAATAGCTACCACGGGCAGTTTAAAACCTGGGGGAGGAAAATAATTTACAGACAGAAACTTTTGAAACGAATACATAATTATCTCACCAGCATGTCATTGTGCAACAAAGTCGTCAGCATTTTATTTGTCCTTTGAACGGGTGAAACGTTTTGAATGGCACTCGTATCGATGAATTTTACACTAAACCAAGCTAGCTTTATTTACCCGCCTTTCATCTTAAAACCAGAAGTGCGAGTTCGTAAATTTGAAATCTCGATCCCGACTCATATTTGACATCGGAAAGAAAAAAATTGTTTTATTTTTTCTTAAAATTCAAAACCTTGAGCGGAGGCTTTGTACAACTGAAAATAAAATAAATCCTGGCCCTAAATATGTAATTAGATCATTAGCATATTAACCAGGAGCAAAGGATAAGATGTTCAAAGAATTCATGCAATTCACTATATAATCATTAGAGCCCCACCCTAAAACAAGAACCCCTGACCCTGGGGCCATAAAATTCACAATTTTGGTAGAGGCACTCTTGCTCGTCATAACTATGTACTTAGTTAGTTTATTTAATACCCAGGAGCAGAGAAGAAGATTTTCAAAGAAATAATGTATTTTCACTATATAATTAATAGAGCCCCGCCCTAACACCAGAACCCCTGACCCTGGGGCCATAAAATTCACAATTTTGGTAGAGGCACTCTTGCTCATCATAACTATGTACTTTGTTGGTTTATTTAATACCCAGGAGCAGAGAAGAAGATTTTCAAAGAAATAATGCATTTTCACTACCTACTTATTTAGCCCCACCCTAGCACTAGAACCCCTGACCCCAGGGCCATGAATTTCACAATTTTGGTAGAGGACTCATTGCTGATTACAATCATGCAAACAGTTCTATTGCTTGATGTCCAGGAGTAAAGAAGAAGATTTTTAAAGATTGCATTAATTTTAGTGGTTTTGGCCCCACCCCTCAGGCCCCAGGGGGGCAGGGATCATGAAATTCACAAATTTTGTTCCCCTTCACCAATAGATGCTTTGTGCCAAATTTGGTTGAAATTGGTTCAGTGGTTGCAGAGAAGAAGCTGAAAATGTTCAAATGTTAACGCACGACGAACGACGACGGACGAAAATAGCAATAGGTCACCTGAGTTTACTCAGGTGACCTAAAAAGGTAATGGGTTCGACAAGAATAAATCAGTACCATCCCCAAAATCTTGCCGGTTTCAAGCTCTTGGTTCCATTGATGATTATATATGCTGTACAGTCAGGTGATACTGACAGTAAACATACTGTGAAGAAGATTATATTACCATCATCCTTTATTGGTTGTCCGAGACTCATGCATCAAATGTATCAAGACGCAATGGCTATTGTAAGACATTACGGGAAGCCCGACTACTTTATAACATTTACGTGTAATAATAAATGGCCAGATATTGAAAAAAACATACTGTCAGGCCAGACAAGTACTGATCGACCAGACTTAGTTGCACGTGTATTTCATTTGAAGCTAAAAGATCTTTTAAAAGACATCACAGTAAAAACATATTTGGCAAAGTTATTGCATTTGTCTACACCATCGAATTTCAGAAAAGAGGTTTACCCCATGCGCATATACTTTTAATATTGCATTCAACATGTAAACCTAAGTCTTCTGATGATTACAATATGTATGTAATAGCAGAAATCCCTTCCCAAGCAACAACACCAGAATTGTACAAAATTGTCTCTCAACATATGATTCATGGTCCCTGTGGACTTGCAAACCCCAAATCGCTATGCATGCAGGATGGAAAATGTTCTAAAAAATATCCAAAAGAGTTTTCTGAACAGACTGTACAGTTACTAGATGGATATCCTATGTACAAAAAATCTAACAGTGGTTCATCAGTTCAGAGGAGTGGTGTTATACTTGATAATCGTTGGATTGTTCCATATAATCCTTACCTTTGCTGTACGTACTCTGCTCATGTAAATGTTGAGATACATTCAAGTGTAACTGCTGTGAAATATTTGTACAAATATGTTTACAAAGGACACGATAGAGTTATGGCTAGCATTCAATCTGATGAACACAATGAAATACAAAATTATGTTGATGCAAGATATATGTCTGCTTCAGAGGCATGTTGGCGAATTTTTCATTACGATCTTCATGACAGATCACCTGCAGTTCAACGACTTGCAGTACATCTTCCTGGACAACATACTGTGCTCTATAAAGATGGAAAAGCAGTGGAAGCTCTTCAAACTTCAAAGGACACAACTTTGACAGCTTGGTTTAAAGCAAATCAGGAAATTCCAGAAACAAGAAATATTCATTATCATTTATTTCCAGAGCACTTCACATGGAATGTTTAGCATGCACCTGGAAGAAAAGAAAAACAGGAAACACTATCGGACGACTGTATCTTGCCAGTCCTATTGAAGGAGAAAGATTTTTTCTTCGACATTTACTTCATCACAGTCCAGGCTGCAAATCTTTCAAGATTTATTAGCTTTAGATGATGGTACAGTTTGTAACACATATAAAGAGACAGTATTAAAAAGGAGATTCCTTCAAAATGATGAGGAATGGATTGAATGTCTCAGTGAGGCAGCATTATCAGAATCTCCCAGTCAGTTACGTTTACTTTTTGCAACAATTTGACTGTTTTGTGAACCAGTTGAACCTGTGAAATTGTGGAAAGAGTTCTACGTCCAACTTTCCGGTGACTAAAGAAGATATAAAGATAATTTTTACTACTCTGATGAAGTTACACTTTACAAAACATTGCTTCTTATTAATGATCAATTAAAAACACATGGAAAGACATTACATAATTTTCCAGGGATGTCTAAATTGTTTGCTACAGTTCCAACCAATATACATGTACCAAATATCATAGAGGAGGAATTATCTTACTGTACACAAGAGTTATGTGCTGTCGTTTTGGACATGAACGTAAAATGAATAAGGATCAGATTCAAGTTTACAATAAAGTTATTGAAGCTGTCTTCTCACCCGCACCCAAATCCACTCTTTTTAGGTCACCTGAGTAACTCAGGTGACCTATTGCTATCAGTTTTCGTCCGTCGTCGTGCGTCGTGTATTAACATTTGAACATTTTCATCTTCTCCTCTGAAACCACGGAACCAATTTCAAACAAATTTGGTATACAGCATCTATGGGTGAAGGGGAACAAAAATTATGAATTTTATGGTCCCTGCCCCTCTGGGGCCTGGGGTGGGGCCAAAACCACCAAAATTATTGCAATCTTTAAAAATCTTCTTCTTTACTCCTGGACATCAAACAGGCAAACTGTTAGCATGAATGTAATGAGCATTGAGTCCTCTACTAAAATTGTGTATTTCATGGCCCCAGGGTCAGGGGTTCTGGTGTTAAGGTGGGGCTCTATTGATTATATAGTGAAAATGCATTTATTCTTTGTAAATCTTCTTCTCTGCTTCTATGTATTAAATAAACTAAGTATATAGTTATAATGAGGAAGAGTGCCACTTTCAAAATTGTGAATTTTATGGCCCCAGGGTGAGGAGTTATGGTGTTAGGGCGGGGCTCTATTGATCATATAGTGAAAATGCATTAATTCTTTGAAAATCTTCTTCTCTACTCCTGGGTATTAAATAAACAAACTAAGCCAATAGTTATGATGAGCAAGAGTATCTCTTCCAAAATTGTTTATTTAATGGCCCCAGGGTCAGGGGTTCTGGTGTTAGGGTGGGGCTCTATTGATTATATAATGAAAATGCATTAATTATTCTTTGAAAATCTTCTTCTCTACTTCTGGGTATTAAATAAACTAACAAAGTACGTAGTTATGATGAGCAAGAGTGCCACTTCCAAAATTGTGAATTTTATGGCCCCAGGGACAGGGGCTCTGGTGTTAGGGCAGGGCTCTATTGATTATATAGTGAAAATGCATTAACTCTTTGAAAATCTTTTCCTTTGATCCTGGGTTTTATGCCAATGATCCTAGTACATATATATTCATGATGAAGAAAGGTGCATCTAGCAAAATGGTTATTTTTTATGCCCCCTGGGGGGGGGGGGGGGGTACATAGTCTGAAAATAAATTAATGCTTTGAAATCTTGTCTTTAGTTTTAATCATCCATTTTATGATAAATTTGCAAAATTTTGAAATATGTGGCCCCTGGGTCAGTGGTTCCATTGGGGTGAGGAGCACAACTGGTTATAAAGTGGAAGTGCATTTTCTCTTTGTTACTCTGATCTACTTCAGGGTATTAAGTAAATAGAGTAAGCATGCTAAGTTTATAATTATGATAAGCAATGGTGCCTCTTTCAAAATTGTGAATTTCATGGCCTTTGGTGTAAAACATGAACCAATTTTAATTGTTTGAAAGTTGTTACATGATACTCAGGTGACCTATAAGGCCCGTGGGCCTCTTGTTTCTGGATGGACCAGGAGGTACTGAAAAAACGTTTGTTTACTACACAATTTTAGCAAAAATAAGATCTATTGGTTATATCGCATTAGCAGTGGCATCCTCGGGAATATCTGAATATCTGCAGAGCTCTTAGATGGTGGACGAACTTATTGATACAAGTACATGCATTTTACCAATACAGAGTTCTTTAGCAGAATTAATCCGAAATGCCTCAATAATTATATGGGATGAGGCTCCGATGATGCACAGATACGTGTTTGAATGCGTGCATAGGACACTATGTGACATTATGAGAAGTGAAAATCCATTTAGAGGAAAAATTGTTTTCCTTGGAGGAGACTTCAGACAAGTTTGACCAGTTATCCATCATGGCTCACAAGCATATGTGATATTCAGCAGCCTTCAACACTCATTTCTATGGACTCATGCATATAAATTACAGTTGACCATAAAAATCAGAGTGCACACGTTTAATTTCAGAACAGGTGTTTTAAATGTCGATATTTCTTCTTAAGATAGGAAATGGTACTGAGGAGTATTACCCACACCTAGGAATTTAAAAAATTAGACTCCCTACTCAAATTTGTACATGTATTATGAATGCGGTTTAGACAATTTGATAAAAAGAGTGTACCCATATCTTTGTAAAAAGGCCTTTGATCAAGAAATACGCAACAGAGCTATTTTGTCAGCAACTACCGAAAGAGTAGACTTTATTAACCAAAAAATTATGGAAGCATTTAAATCGGACAGTTGTGAAGTTTACTTAAGTGCAGACAGTGTTCACGATCCTTCAGAAACATACATATATCCAACAGACTTTCTTATTTCTTTGACACCGTCAGGTTTGCCACCCCATTCTTTGTTCTTGAAAAAGTATTCTCCTATTATACTAATACAGAACTTGAACCCTAAAGAAGGTCTTCTAAATGGAACCAAGCTTGCTGTAATTAATCTTGGTCGCTGCATCACTGACGCAAAAATTATGACAGGAAAACATTCTGGGAAAATGGTGTTCTAACCACGGATTATCTTGACGCCATCAGATTCGGGTTTACCATTTCAACTTCGACGCCGTCAATTTCCAGTTAGACCAGCGTTTGCTATGACAATCAGTAAATGTCAGGGACAGACTTTAGATTATGTTAGAATAGACTTTACTCATGGACAACTTTATGTAGCTTTACTTCGCGTGAGATCCTTCAACTCAGTGTCGGTACTACCTGATCTACAATGTTTTGATTGCTATTACACTGACAATGTGGTATACAAAGATGTACTTCTTTAGATGTTTATTTGGTTTAACAAGAGGCCCACGGGCCTTATAGGTCACCTAAGCGATTGTATTTGGTTCGTGTTTTAATCCAAAAGCCATGAAATTTACAATTATGAAAGAGGCACCACTGCTTATCATAGAGCAGATTTCAAAGCATTAATTTATTTTTAGACAAAGTACCCCTCCCCCCGGTACTTCTGACCCAAGGGCCCTGAAATTATCCATTTTGAAAGAGGCACTTTTCTTCATCATAAGGCCAGCATTTTTTTTATATTTAGGTTTAGTTACGAACATCAGAATGAACAAGTCCCATAGGAGGAGGAAATAAAAAAAAATTAAAAAAATTTCGGATAAGAACTGGGTACGGTATGCATAACGAGGCGGCCTTGTCTCTAAATTTGATTGAAGCTTTTTACAAACATGCCCACGATGTGTCCTTTCAAAATCATTTTATTTTTTGGAATTATCTCTTACCGTTTTTCCGCCACAGGTTTGGGAAAATGATGCATTTTCTTCAATAATTACAACTTTTGACGTAAAGACGTCATCACGACGTTACTGATTTTAACGTTACGTGAAATGAAATCTGTAAATTCTCTTAACCGAGAACTATTTACTTAATCCTGCAAATATTCCAGTAAACCATTTTGAACTATCTTTCAATTCATCATACATCATTGATAGTTTGAAATAGTTTAAATATTTTCAGAAATATATAATTTTTTGACAAACGATTGTACCAATGTGGCAACACACTTTGAAAAAATAATGCATTTTGAAAAAAAATTTCAAAATGCGTTAAAATTGGGACGAAATCAACGCACTTTGAAAAAAAAATTCAAAGTGCGTTAAATTTGGGACATACTGAACGCACTTTGAATTTTTTTTTTCAAATTGCGTTAAGAGATTACATCAATATATTTTACCATGGAGACACTTAACGTGCTTTGAAAAATATGTGTAAAATCAAACATTTCGGATTTAGATTTTAGTAAAAGAAAGATTCTATTTCAGTGAACATTATTTATCTTTCAAAGAACTTATGATTTATTTATTTTACTTCTCCCGTCGAGAAGAGAAGACTACCGGTAGATCTCTCAGCCTATAACCCAAAAATTGGTAATCCGCATTTTCAATGCCTATATGATGTATATCTTTCAAAAATAAATGGGGGGATAAGCCCCCCTCCCCTTGCCCTTCGCCCGGTTTCGATGCATATGCTATACCCAAACGATGGATATGTATTTTCATTACCGGTATGACATTGAAAACTATCAATAATTGAATTAATTTAAAACAGACGAAAACTAGAAATTTTTAAGTACAGTAAAACGTATGAGAGAGAAAGATTTTTTTCATAGTCTTGAAAAATCAAATTGCAAATCAAATTGCAACTCTTTCTTTAAGATAAACACTTTGTTGTAAGTCATTCATTTTTAGCCCCCCCCCCCCCTCCCCCTTACATCTACATATTACAGACTAGAAATTTTTAAAAATAAACGGAAATAATAATATTAAACAATCAACTCTCTATTTTTTTTTCTAAAAGACCTATTTCCCTTTTTTAATGTTTATCAAAACCTTAAATATTCAAACGTCTATGTCTTTAGGTCCTGATTTGACCTTATCACCAAAAAGTTATCCAACTAGGGTCAATTATTTATCATACTGATTATT